TTCGCATGATAGCTTTTTTTAGCACTTTGTAAAATTCAAAGCATGATAACTTAAGTAATATATAGTTTTATGAGCTGAAATTTTCAGGAAATGTTTATTTATTATGGATGCTCCGGTTGACCCATGGGTTTTTCTTATATTTAGTTAAATAAAAAGTTATTGCTATAAATCTACGGAAAGAAAGTAAAATTTTCAAAAATTTCAATAATTTGTAATAAAAAAAGTTTTAAAAATTTTCAAAATTTTTAAAAATCTATGGGTCAATCGGTGTATAATAATGTATTTTATCATTGTGTCAATTTTTAATCCATACATCTTTGACTATATAATAAATAATATTAATAGTTTTTTAAAACAAATTTTCATCGAAGATAAACAATATATATATTTCACAGTTTCAATTTTTTCCTGGTGTACCACCTTAGGAGGAGCTGATTTTTTAGTAAGTTCAATTTATTTTCTCATACATATATTAAGATTTTTTTTAGAAAAAATAATGACAATAATTTTCATATTAAATACATAAATTTTATTTATGTATTTAAAAAAAAAAGTTAAATAAAACAAGACTGTTATTTGTGGTCATGTAAGTTTTAATACATAAGTTTGCGTTTATTTCAGTCTATTTTATATTTCTCTATATCTATATTTATATTTTCTGAAAGGAAAAGTAATAAGGAATAGAAAATTAAGAAAATTTCTTCTGGAATTTGTCAAATAAGTGTTGTGTTATGCTTCATTTTAAGGTATCTAATTATGTATTTATTAGAACTTTTTAATTTTGTTCTTAAATGGTTTCTTCTTTTTCATTACTTTAGATAAATATATACTGACATAACTTCATTTTTATTAACAATGTTGTGCATTGCATTCTTTGTTGCATTAAAAATAATTGATGCTAATAAATGTTGTTTTATAGGTGTTAAAAGTTTGCATATATGTTTGCATGTATATTATGCTCAAAGTTAAAATTTTTTTAATAAATACGTATATGTGGCGATATATTTTATATAGTTGTTTTATAAATGTGTTTATATTAATGTGTTTTTATAATAGTATGAAATTAATTTCATACTATCATAAAATTAATTTCATACTATCATAAAAATTTAAATTTGTGCATGATTTTTAAATGTTTTTATATGTTAAGTAACATAAAAAAATATATTATGTTTTAATGGCGTGACTTGGCAATAGTTATAAAATATGTTTATATGTGTTACATAAAGTCATGTTTGTTTATAGTTGTATATATGTTTAAATTATGTTGTTTCCATGTTTTCAAAGTGGTGTGTCTTGGTATTATGTTAAGCAAGTTTGATAACCTTGCCAGCCAAGTGGTGTACCTATAGCAGAGGTGTGATTTGGTAGCATTTAGTGCCAGGCGGTGTTACTGCTTTAGAGCTAGGTGTTGTCTAGCTTTTTTTAATTATTCTGGAAACACATAATAATGTCTGTTAATGTTTAGCGTAATGTGGATGAGAGAATATGCAACCTTAATCTTTAAATCTAAGGTGCTTTAATATCCTAAATTTGAAGTAATTGAATAACTAATATTGAACATAAAAACAAATATACTTTATTAAAGTATAGTAAAAAGATAAATATAGTTAACTTTAAATTGGTTTTTTAATTTTGTCTTTCGTATTTTAATTTAGTTTATTATTTTCTTTGGATCTTATTGTTATGTGTTATTGTTGTGATTTTTTGTGTTGATAAACAGCTTACCATTCCGTTGGTGTCTATTGTTAAACATGAATAATAGATAGTTTCATTATTGGAACTTACTGCTTTTATTTATTTACTAAAAACCAAGACAACAAATTTATATCTTAGTTTGATTTTTTTTTTTTAGTATTGTTAATGATTTTATAGTTACATTTTTGATAAATCTTTTTATTAACTGCAATTTCAAAATAGGTTACTATAAATAGGTAAATCGATTTTCAGTAATTGTGTGGTGGATTTTGTTTTTTTTTTTCTTTGTAATTATGGTATCATAATTTCATTACTTTTTTATTTTAGATTTACGTTAGGACGCATTTATAAAATTTATAAAATAAAAAAACCTGATTTCCTTTTATTGTAAAGTTTTGTTAGTTAAAAAAATATAAATATATGCTATTAGTTAAACTTTTTTTACATTTTATTTATTTTATGCCTAATAATTTGTTGGACGTATTTTAGGTGAAAAGTATTTAATATCGAGTTACTTAAGTTTTATTTATGTGTTTAACTAATTAGTTAGCTTAGTCTGTATTTGCAACACTTTTGAGGAAAGAAACAAAACAATCTTATATATGTAGATCATTGTTTTACATTTTATTATTTTGGTAAAAGGTCTTCATCAAAAACATGATTACTCTTAATAAAAAAAAAACTCTACTCACCTCGCCACCATTAAAGCAAAAAGAGGGGAGAAACCTCTTTATTAGAGTCAAAATATTTAGGAAAATTAAACTTCGAGTTACAAAAGGAATTTTTAGTAAATGGTGGCAAATTACCGTTAACTAAAAATTAATGAAATCAAGAAGCCAATCAAATAATATAGAAATGGTCTGTGTTGAGCAGACTTAACAATACCCGGATCGGGTCAGCTTGGTTTACAAATTTTTATGTCTACTTATCTGTTATAATTTTTATTTTAGGTTTGTCATATGATGCATTAATGCATTAAGTTTACATATTTTTTCAAAATTGTTATACCCGTGTTTGATTGTAAATTTAATTTTTTTTGTTTGAAACGTATGTGTACTCAGTTGCTCAGTTATTTTTAATAAACTTAGTTATTTTTAATAAATTTATTTAAATGTGAGCAATTAACATTTTTAAGTTAACAATTTTCTTTTATAAAAAAAAATTAATCACGGGGATACTTAAAAAACTGATAACTCCTGTATAATATAAGTTAACTTCATTTTAATCTAAATGGTTCGTGTTATAAAATTTTTTACAAGGATTTAGTTGAAACTTTCGTCAATTTAAAGCACGATGAAGTGTTATTATTTTGTTTCAGTAACAAAAAACGTATTGTGTTGAACTTAGGAAGGTCGATGAAAATGGTTCTGCCTAACACTGTTATGACCTATGTCAGTTGTAAATTAATTTTTTCAAGCTGAAGGCGTTTTTTTAAAAGGGTGTTAGTTAAGGTTTTGCAACATTAAATTATGGAAAACAGCCTCTATCAATTAATTATGTAACAGACCAACCAAAACCCGTATTACAGGTTGCTTGGTGCTAGTATGCATTAATTATCTTAATGTATACCATTTATTAAACGTTTAGAATAAATGCTTAAGTTCGTCAATTTTTTGAACGTTTATTCAACTTATGCATTAAAAAGCTTGATTATGCTGATCCAAATAAACAGTCGACAATGGCGTATCGTTTGCGTGACTTCAAATTGTTTGCTTTTCCGAATATCAATCCCACAACTACTAGCACTTTTAAAAAATTTTTTTGTTTTTGTGCAATGTTTGTCCGCAAATCAATTCCAAATTGTCTTATGTTTCTGAAAAAAATTCTGTTTTTAGCACACAAACGAGACGCCGTTAGTCGCTAAATGTTTCATTTATTTTAAGACCAATTTTGACTAAATATTGCTCTTTCCGGTGTTTATTGGGCTAGCCGAATAAAAGGCAGAAAGCAAAAGTATATTTTTAATGATATCAAAGATTGGTGGGAGGCGGGAAAAAAAAATCACAAAAACTTCAAAAACAAAATTAGTAAAAAACTGAATCCAAATAAATATAGAAAAGAACTTAAACTTAAAAAGCTAATAAAAAAGCGCTTTCAACAAAATAAATAAAAAAAAAACACTGTAAAAGCCATGTACAAAAAAAGCTAATGAAATAAGAAAAGACTGTTAGTGAAGCTATACGAGCAAGAACCCAATGATTGATGGAAGGATAACATTGTTCGAGACTTTTTAGAGTTTAGAAAAATAAAAATTTGATACGTAATAGAAAATAACTTAAAAATAGGGGGCATAAAAAATAATTCTGAAGATATTTTGTCAGAATTCAAAAACTTTTACAAAAAACTGAATAAAAGTAATTAAAATGATCAGGAATCTTAAAACTTTTTATTAAAAAACCCCAATGTGAAAAACATTACAAAACAAGAAAATTTGCTGTTACAAAAGTATTTCTTGGACTATAAAATTCTAACAAAAACTTTAGCCAATAGATAGGAAAAAGAACCTATAATAAATTATAATCAAACCGCTCGTATTAAAAGCAGAACAATGTAAAAAACCTAAGCTATGCTAGAGAGGTAATTACTTTAACTAACAAAGAAAATTTTTGCATGTGTACTTTTTGTAGATAATGTGAAAGGTTTCGAATGGATATACAGAAAATGTTATTCAAGAGCTTTAAACATTTTGGTTTTGGAGAGGTTTTTGAGGCAGTTATCAAAACAGTTTACAACAAAATTAAAATTAAAGTTAAATTTACAACACGCAAAATTAAATTTACAACACGCAAAATTAAAATTAACGGATTTCTTTTAAAAAATGTATATATAAAGACTAACAATAAATAGCAAGGCAAAATTGCATTTTATCAATGATATTGTACGTAATACAGGCTGAAGTATGTTTGCAAAATATTTGACAAAACCGAGATATAAAAGGGATTTTAATAGGAAAACAAAAAGCAAAAATACAACGTTATCCAGATGATATCAACTTTTATTTAATCGGAGACAACTCCATCAAAAATCTTGACAAAGCCCTTATGCTAAATAAAAAGCCTGTGGTGCTAAAGTTAACATTGCCTAATGTCAGAAAATTTGCCTTGGCAGAAATAGATTAAAACAGTTATTGCAGAAATTTAAATCTAGTTCCCATTGGTAAACTGATCAAAATGACGTCAAAATTCTGATATTCAGACATTAAGAATCAAACGACAAATAGAAATCTTAAAAATAAAAAAATATTTACTTTACTTGACATATAAACTATGGTCTTTCAACTAATTCAATATGTTCATTGACAAATAATCTTGCTGTCAAAAATGAAATGATCTCTTTCCATCATCATAGATCAACAATTTTAATTATCTAATGAAAAAACTGATATAAAAACCTTACTTTCAATTCAATCTTTAATTTACAGTAGTCTAGTCAAACTGACAGTACAAGAAAATAACAAACCTGTAAGTAAAACAATAAAATTTAATTTTATATATAAATTTTATTGTTATTCGTTAGATATAAGTAAAAAAGATTCAGCTACATATATCGTTATATAGTATAGATAAAAAGATTCCTTTACATAAATCAATTTATATAAGATAATTTGATGTATATATATATATATATATATATATATATATATATATATATATATATATATATATATATATATATATATATATATATATATATATATATATATATATATATATATATATATATATATATATATATATATATATATATAATACTGAAATTTTAAAATCAATGATTTTAAAATTTCAGTTTTCAAACTTGAGTTTACTGATTTCCCCATATTGAAATTATTTTAATAACTCTTCCATAAAATCGGTCTTTGAATTGTTATACTGCACTCTTTTATATTAAGTTTCATGACAGTTTAAAAGAAAATATATCATTTCATAAAAAAGAACATCTATTGTTTAAATTTTCCTAAATTTTGTTTTTAAAACTTTTGAGCTCGTAAATCCACACCATCCATTCAAATATTTTTTTCTTATATATTTCATAAGTAAACACTAAAAAGTTTTATATCATCTCGGCTTTGAGTTAACAAGTTTAACTTAGATTTAATTTAAGTTTAATTCTTTATAACGTTTACTTGTAGGTTTCTTTTTATAAAATTTCTAATTGAAAGTTTTTATGTAATTCATAATTGTTTTCTTAATTCCTCGTCTCACCGCTTATCAGTTTTCAAAGAATGTAAAAAAGTTATGCAATATATTATTTTTAAGAAAAAAATTGTTTTTTTTCTAAAAAGTAGTTGTTTTTAACTAATTGATTACATAAAGACCATAATAAAATAAATCTCTTTATCATAACATTTTAACAACATAGATCGGGGCATCGAGCTTTTCCACTCTTTTTCCAAATTTTTTTAACAAACTTTGAAATATAATATAAAATATAAAAATATTTGTTAAAGTTTGTTTGCCGAACATCCCTTCAAAAAAAACCAGCACCGCAATCCTTGAACAAATTTATTTTTATATTAACTAAAATTAGACAAAATTGTCAATTTTTTTTATTTTCCATACCGCTTAACATACGCTATAAAATAAATCCTATACTAAAAGAAGCCCTAACTAAGAAACCCTAAATTTTTACCTTTATAAGGTTTAGTAAATAAATTTTCATGTTAACGCAGTGGTTAGAGCTCTTGTTTTACAAGCGAAAGATCCAGGTTCGAAACGAACTTTGGACATATTTCGCGTCGCGGTAAGAAAGGAGGCGTGAACTTCCTGGTTAAATGCACTTCCGCAGTGCTCTATGACAAGACCGTTAGGTCTTCTTGGAGCACCTAAATAACAAATAAAAAAAATTTAAAAAATTTAAAGAAAGAAAGCAATTTTAATATGTTGATTTATTTAAGCAAAATTATAAAATGCACTTGGGTGTTTGGATCCTGGCTTCAATAGCATTTCAGTTGTCGCTCGGTGACATCCTCAATTATCGTTTTGAATACAAAAACAACAAAAAAGGTAAAACATAAAACTTTTTTTTGAAATGCCTATTAAATAAAGTTAAGTATAGCAACTGTGTAATTTGTATTTTAGGTATAAAATGGAAGCTATTGAGAAAAAATGTTTGTTTAGAGCCGAAAGGTGATAAACCTGGATTACTTACGTTAAATGAACAAGGTTTGTTTGTGGCAACTAAACTTGTTTATGTAAGTGGCAAAGCAATAAGTAATCCATCCTTTCCAGGAAGCCACTTTGGACTCACTGATGATATCCTTTTTAATGTATTGGTTTGCGATGACAAAAAAGAAATAATTTTTCCGTCTCCAATAGAACCACTTACTTACCAGTACCAAGGAAAACATTATAAATACCGCGGCTATAAAGCTAGCGATAACGAAGTTATTTTTACCGATTATAGCTTTCCTGTTTATATGAAAGAAGGAACAAATATTACAATTTGGTTTGGAGAAGATCTTACTAACATTGGTGATCTTGATAACTCCGGAATACTTTGTTTGGACGTATATGGCTCTTTCATACACTAATAATTTTTGTGTTGTTTTTATCAACTCACATTTGAAGCTTATTTTATATTATTCTTAATATTTTTTTGTTCTTTTTGAGTTTTCAGAAAACTTTATTATAAGCAAATGTTAATTTAATTTCATTACTTTAACGTATTGAAAGGCTTTTTTATGAGTTTGAAGCCAAGCTTGAGTTACATATAAAAAGAAAGTTGTATCAATCTTTCCATGAATTATTTAATTACTTTCACACCTAGACAAGTTCACTATCAACCTAACCTAAAAAAAGGAAAGCAGTTCTCTGGGTGCATATATAGACTTGATGATGTACATTTAGAGGTGCTTTTAAAACTTTTAATTTTGTCCGAGCCAGATATTTGCGTGTAAACATGTTGATTTTGGATTTATTTGAGTTGGAGTTTTTAACTCCAACTCAAATAAATTTATAATATTTGTTCTATGAAATAAAACAATCCTAAAATCATTCTGAGTGGGATATAATCTAAACACAAGCCACAGTACTTGTGTTTGCAAATATATTTAAAATATAAATAGTAGAAAAAATTAGTTCTCATTTTATAAAGCTTAACACTTTTAATGAAAATTTAGGAATTCCATAAATATTTTTTTGTCTTAATTAATATCCATGATATTTTCATACTCGATGGCCACCTTGATCTGTAGATCTTGTGGCTTTGTCTTTTCTTTATTATGATGCATCTAGAAACAACTAATTAAAGAAAAGATAAACCTATTTAAATTAGTTTAATATAAAAGTTATTCTAATCAATATTGATATTGAATAGATATTACCGGAGCTGATTTTTAAAGTAAGCTTAACTGGTTTAACTGCTAGGTAACATTGATTATATGTAATTTCTGTTAATAACAGTAATTACATGTAATCTAATTAGAACCTAATTACTAGATTCAATTTCATTAAACCAGATCCCATTTTTATTAAACATCACTGCAAAAACCATTTATGCAGTGGATGCGTTTCTTTTCTACTTAACTTGAATACAAATTATTTATGCAAATTACATAAATGATTTGCATTCAAAGTTAAGTAGATTGATTGATCTACTTAACTTTGAAAGCAAATTGCAATTAAAGTTAAATAGATCAATGCAAAGTTAAGTAGAAAAGAATTGATCCATCCCAGTTGGCACAACTCAGAACATAGTTACGCTTGGTTTCTGTTGCGTTTTTAAAACCTTCTAAAACAAAAAAAGCACGTATCAAAAATGGTTTTTATTCCGTGAAATTAACTATTACTATTTACCATAAATATCAGTTAAAGTATTAATGGTTTCACTGTTATAGAAGCGTAGTATTATATTGTAATAACTTTCTGTAAGGAATGTGAAACCACTGATGAAAACATGCGACATTTAAATTTGACTTTAAAACCTCAAAAAACACGTGTTAAACTCTAGTAAAACTGCCCGTAATATACACGTGCTTTTGGTTTACGCCTGGATCGTGAAAAACACGTGCCAATATAGGTTTTGTTTCTGAAAAAGAAACTAGATGTGCCGGTAGGGATTGATCCATTGCAATGCAATCCCTACCAGCACATCTAGTTTCTTTTTCGGAAATAAAACCTATATAGGCACGTGTTTTTCACAATCCAGGCGTAAACCAAAAGCACGTGTATATTACGGGCAGTTTTACTAGAGTTTAACACGTGTTTTTTGAGGTTTTAAAGTCAAATTTAAATGTCGCATGTTTTTATCAGTGGTTTCACATTCCTTACGGAAAGTTATTACAATATAATACTACGCTTCCATAACAGTGAAACCATTAATACTTAAACTGGTATTTATGGTAAATAGTAATAGTTAGTTTCACTGAATTAAAACCATTTTTGATACGTGTTATTCTTTTTGTTTTAGAAGGTTTTAAAAACGCAACAGAAACCAAGCGTAACTAATTTCTGAGTTGTGCCGGCTGGGATTCTTTTTTACTTAACTTTGAAAGCTAAATTCCCCTTCAATTAATGATAAACAGTAAAGATATAATTATAAAATATAACTTAGATAATATTATATAATAAATATATAATATAACTATAACTTACATAAGATTGAATATTTATTTAAAACTGCCTTTAAAATTTCAGGAAACTGAGTTTTCGAGTTTTCCTACTCGCGTTGTTATAAACATTTTGAGACTGATATCATAACATTACCATATTTGGATGAGCAGATATCGGAACATGAACTGTTGTTTACGACATGTTGAACTGCTATTAGTGAAAATTTTATGTACACATTTATCTCCAAAAAGAAGTTCTGAAGTTTCACCTACAGGGCAAAGTTCACCAGGCATTTTACTATAAACTGTTCTGTTCTTTTTAATTTTAAAATTATATGAGCTTTATTTGGTCCCTGGATTGCTTAGAACGAGATTATGTATGATTAGTATGATTCTTGACACAAGAATTGTGCATTCTAAGTTCAATTTTAAGTGGTTTTAAGTTTATGTAAGTGCACTCACATAACATGTTATAAATAAAATGGATCATTTCAAATCCAGGGAAAAAGTTTACATGTTAAAATATGTTGCTCAAAAATAGTAAATTTTAAAATTGCACTACTTAAGCACTAGTGCTTCTTTATGATAAGACCAATGAATTTCTGATTGTTTTAAAAACTTTTTATAACAATTTATATTTTTATTTAATTACAATAACTTAATAAATAAAATATTATCTACATCTAAAAGGTTATCTACAAGTAAACATTAAAAAAATAAATTTAAAAACAAATTTATAAAGATTACCCTAGAAATTACAACTATAATTAGAATACATTATTAAATTTATTTGTTTATAATATTCATGCAGGATAGTAAAATTCATATAAAATAAATACATCTGCTATCATTTTTCTTTATTGTTTCTGATTGTTTTAAGAGAAAATTTGATCACTAAAAGATTTTGAAAATTGTATGTAAAACTAAATCAGTTTTAAATACAATTTCACATACAGTTTTACATGCAATTTAAATACAAAACATACAGTTTTGATCAGTCACTAAAAGATTTTGAACGTAAACCTTATTTCTAGCAGTCCAACATTGTAAAAAGACTATATATAGTAAGTTATTGTTAATACTATAGAATCAAGTGATGCTCTATAGTATGGATTAAAAATAAAAATGGTAATTTCCAACAAGTAAATAAAAAGTGAAGGCCTAAAGTTATTGTTTTAAAGGTTTTGTTTGTTTTGTCTATTGTTAAAACATTCTGGATTTATATTTCATATTTTTCTCAAATTTTAATTGCTTCGTTGTATCAGTATTTAGTCATTTAATATATAATATAATAAATTTAAGTTAGTGGTGTAAGGCTTGAATGTTCTTTGTATTTTAGTATGCATATCTCTTATAGAGTAAATGCTAATGAAGTATTTATTTATTTACTAAAGTGATTTTTAGATTCATTACTTTAAATTATGGTTTTATAGTACATTTATTTTTAAAGAACTTATCATATGTAAACATCTTTCCAACATCTTTGCATGATTTTTTATTATCTGAATATATATATATATATATATGTATATTCAGATAATAAAAAATCTGAATATATATATATATATATATATATATATATATATATATATATATATATATATATATATATATATATATATATATATTATATATATATATATATATATATATATATATATATATATATATATACATATATATATATATACATATATATATATATATATATATATATATATATATATATATATATATATATATATATATATATATATATATATATATATATATATATATATATATATATATATATATATATATATATATATATATATATATATATATATATATATATATATATATATATATATAATATATATCAGGGGCTATTCTAGACTGTTTTAGACCATAATTAGACATTGTTATTTTTTTACAAAAAACATTGTTTTTTTCTCAAAAAATTATGTTTTTTCAGAAAATGTGTTTTTTGGCAAATATGGCTTATTTTTAAGAAAGTAATCTTACTTATCAAGCCAGTGTGCGAGGTACCGCTGTTTACATTTTTTTTCTTGAATTGCCCCTGTATATATATATATATATATATATATATATATATATATATATATATATATATATATATATATATATATATATATATATATATATATATATATATATATATATATATATATATATATATATATATATATGTATATATATATATATATACATATATATATATATACATATATATATATATATATATATATATATATATATATATATATATATATATATATATATATATATATATATATAAATATATATATATATATATATATATATATATATATATATATATATATATATATATATATATATATATATATATATATATATATATATATATATATATATATATATATATATATATATATATATATATATATATATATATATATATATATATATATATACAGGCCTCGGCGGGAATAAATGAGCACGAGAGCAGAGAAAAGCTCTCTTAAAACGAACTTGGGGAGCTGTGCGAGCTCATTTAAAGCGGTGCTCTTTTTTTGTTTTAATTTTTTTTTTGCAACAGTGCTTTTTAAAAAGCATTGCAGTATAATATGCAATTAATTTTTTTTAAAATTACATTGTTTTTTTATTTTAGTTACAACGATTATTATACTTTCATGGGAAAAAAAAAAAAAAAAAAAAATATATATATATATATATATATATATATATATATATATATATATATATATATATATACATATATATATATATATATATATATATATATATATTTATATATATATATATATATATATATATATATATATATATATATATATATATATATATATATATATATATATATATATATATATATAAGTATTTACATATATACATAGTAATGCATACTTTAGCACTATGATGTCACACTGATTTAGGGGCGAGGCGATAGATCGACTGATTTAGGGAGAACTGGCAAGGGAATTGATAACACATATAAGGGTTTCAGTTAAGGAAGGATAAATTTATTTTCAT